CAATTTCGTGAATGATGCGTTCATTTGGAGGGTCTCCGGCTCAATAAAAAGCCGAGCCACGTAATTAAATGTGAAGATTGTGCCATTATGGCCTCTGCTCCCAATGCGCTGCGGCCCACAGTAAAACCAGAAAAAATAGATATAAAAAAAACACAGAGCCATAAGTTGAGGTTCAGGAAAAAAAAAAGTGAAGTCGAAACGCTTTTCGCAAGCAAACGTGCTGTCATTAAATTTAATAAGCACTTTTTAGGCCAAGCTTGGATTTTCGAGCCCGCCTGTATGAAAAAGCACTAGACAACAAAACGACAAACGAAGCGTTTTCAAAACGAAATGGTCTGGCAAAATATGAAAACAGAATCAAAAAAATAAAAATACTAAAAAACAAAACAAACGAAAAAAACTATAAAAAAAAGAAAAAATAAACAAAAGCGAAAAAGAAAAGAAATAAAAGAAACTATAAATGACATTTTGCGCTTGGCTCATTTTCAGTGCGATGTTCTTTCCGGGTTTTTCTCTAGGGCTTTTCCTCGAAAAGTAAATGAACTTTAAGCACGATGTCTAACGGCCCATTTGGGGCAACCGGAGAGCAGTCGGCGTCGCCCAGGTGGCTTATTAAGGCCGACAGCGCTTACGCAATGCCAGAAGAAAACGGTCTTACCTCAATTACGTTTAGCCAACAGCTAAACCCGTTAAAGGACAAATTGAGTTATTAGTCAAGACGCGCCACAAGCAAATCGCTTCAAACTCGCTGGCGTGAAAAACTAAACGCGCTCCAGTTGAATAAAGAGGAAAAAAAAACAACAAATAAAGCGCGCGCGCACGCAACTGGAGCAAAAGTTGACGGAGGCATTCATTAGGGACCACACTGCAGATGACCAAGATGATGCGGATGAAGATGGGGATGATGAGGGAGATAATGATAATGCTGACTCTGTGTGCAGCCACTGACTGCAAATGCATTTGCAGTGCAAGAAATCGTTCGTTAGACTAAAAAATGTGCAATAAGTTTATAAAAAAAAAAAAATTATAATGAGTGACCTCATAATTATATAAAATTATAAACCTTTTAGTTTTGAAAACTAAGCAGTGCTTGAGCAAGGTAAAATATAATGAAGTGCCTAACAGCTCACTAAACAATTTAACTAAATAAACTCCAATGCATAATTCAAAACCCTCAGCGCAATGAGCTTGCAAGCCTTCATCAGCTGAGGGCTCAGCCAAACCTACGTAACACTTCACTTAGGTAAGCTGAAAAAACAGACACACATTTTATATGCTCAAAGCAATTATCTAATCACATGTGGAGCTATGATAAACGTGACCGGAGTTTATTTTGCAAAAAAATATCAATCATAAAAATCAGTCTAGCTTGGAACTGCTGGAGAGTCGTAGAGAGTAGCTTATCGTATTTCCTACACTACTTTCTACTGCTGTCAATTGTGGCATATAATATACTCACTTCAGATATATATGTAAACATATATACAATATCGCATTTCAGTGCAGAATTTTTTGTTCGTTCGCAATTCAGTGCACATGAGCGGGCACACTCCAACTGCTGCAGCGCGTCTGCTGTGAATGCAATTGCAACTGCAACTGCAACTGCGACTGCGACTGCAACTTCAGCCGCAAAATCCAGAACCAGAACCAGAACAACTTCGGCACTCCCTCTGCCACTTGATGCCAGCTCTCTATATATACATAAATATGTATATATGTATATGTATATAGTGCACTTTATAGCTTTATCCAAACTCTGGCCGTGGCCCCCTCCAACGCTCTCAACGGCCAACTCAATTATAAAAATGGCAAAACGCATAAAACACATTAAAAAGAAGAAGAGGAGGAGGAGGAGGAGGAGGAGAGTAAAAGAAAAATGTATAAATGTGCACGTGGAAAAGGTTTTGTGTTGCATTTTCCTTTTATCGTTTTGTGCAATTTTAGTTTTTGCTCAGCGCGTTCTCTCTCCATTTCTTTCGCATTTTGACTTTCGAGCATTACGCCGTTATGAAAGCACCGGCAGCAGCCGCAACCGAAAGAAAATACAATAAATTATGGAAAACTTTTGTGCGCCGCCAGCATAAAAGTGCACTGAAAAAATGAGTTCGTAACTCACAGATCCAATAAGCGAGCCGCACTTAAATGGACACTTGTTTAGGTTCAAATTTATGAGAAGCGCAGAGGGAGGCGCACCAGCGGGTAAAAAGCTCATATGCAATTGCAACTGAGAAGCGCATAGAGAGGCGCCAAAGTTACCAAGGGAAAAACTAAGTGACATTAAAGGCAGGACTTTTCATAAGGGATATATGAGAAGCGCAAAGGAAGCGCCAAAAGCGAGTAAAAATATCAAGCCAAGCTCATATCAGAGAGTTACCCTCTCGTTATCATTTAAGTCAAAGCACTTAGCTCAGCTCAGCTCTCTGAGAAGCGCAAAGAAAGGCGCCAAAGCGAAGAAGCATTTATACACTCGCAGCTCGGCTGACATAGAAAGGCATTTGGGTCAGCTCAGCGAGAGGCCCAAGAAAAGCCGTTCGAATGCTACGTAAACTAAAAGCAGCTGTCACAGTCTCAGCATTTTTGCTAGTCATACACATGAGAAGCACAAAGAGAGGCGCCGCAAATGCGCCAGCAAATTGAGCACAGCTGTCGTTAATGATCATATTTTTTTATTCAAATTTTCAAATGATGTAAGTTTAGCGAGAACAGGTAGTGCCAGGCACAAGTGCATTATCAAACAAATGACTAACCAACCACCAATTTGTTCAACAAAAGATAGAGAGGGAGAGGTAGAGAGAGAGAAAGAGTGCCAGAGCTAGCGAACACAATCAATTTGAACTGATCGACGCCGACAGCTGCCCGATGAGTCCAACGACATGAGCTAGCAGTTTGAGGCACGCAGCGTGGGCACCCAACGGCGACGAGCTGAATGAAGGAGCACCTGCTCAGTTCCAAAAAAGAAATATATACATACATACATATATATGCATATGCGGGTATATATATAACAGCAACTGGAAAGAGACCGATTCAGTGGCAGAGCAATTGAAGAGTTTTCAAGAGTGTGGGCCGCACAGACCGGTAGAAGTTTGCGTGATGCCGGAAATGCAATTGTCGCATGCGACACGCCCACCAAAAAAAGAACAAAAAAAACAACACTGTCATGGCAACCAATCCTACTGTATGGGTGTATAGATATATATGTGTGTGTGTGAGGGTGCATTGGTTATATGAAAATCAATTAAAGTTAATGTGAGCTACATTTTATCATTTGGTCGCGCGCGACACTTGAACGAAATGAAAATTCGAGTTCGCTCGCGCATTGTTTACACATTTGTTGTTGTTGGCTTGTGCCAAGCGCTGTGGGACATGCGACTGCATTTGCTGACACTTAAATGGGCATGCCACGGGTCGCCAAGATCAGCAGCAGCAGCAGCAGCAACATAACAGCAACAACCGCTGTCAGTCTTGTGCTGTGGCCAAACATGTTTAACGGCTGTTTCGCTGCAGCACGGCAAATCCAAAAAGTATCTGATAGATGCATGTGAGCCCATTGGTTCTTATGGACTTGGATAGTTCTCAGCGCTGGTGCTGCTGGGGCACACACATGTTACTCTTGTTGGCAGGTAAATATTAATAAAACTACTCAAGCACACACACGCACACCCTGATGGAATTTGGTGAAAATTGCAACATGAAAAACTTGAAAAACCGGCAATGATTGTGCATGAAAACGGCGCAACGGGCAAAACTGGCTGAAAAAAAACAAAACAAGCAAACAAACACATTAGCAATTCACACATTTGCGGCAACATAATTTCAGTTAGCGATACTGAGCAGGAGGCGTGGCATGAGGCTCGCTTGCGGCAAATTCAAAAATGCAATTGGCAAAAAAAAAAAAGATCTGCCTCAGAGTGTGTGAAAAGCATGAGAATGCGAGATATACAAATGTGGCATATGAGTACGTGCTTAACTGTCTGCGTGTGTGTGTGTTTTGCCAACAATTGTGCGCAATTACAGCAAGCCCAAAAGGCAGTTGCAACAATGTGTGGCAGCATTCATAACTCAAAATGCGCGAATAGCAGTTGCATAGACTACAACAACAACAACAGCAACAAAAGCAATTGCAATCATGCGGTTTTTGTCTGCGGCCCAAGAGATAATATATGTATGTTTGCGAGCATACGCCAGGGCAGTCGAAAGAATTCCAAAAGACTCAGAGGCAAATCCATTAGCGACAAACTGCAGCAACTTAGCAATTTAATGCCAGATGACTTGATGCAGCAGTCGGAGTGGAGTCCTTGGAGGCTCTTGGCCAAGACAAGTAGCGCCAGATGACAATTTATCTTAAGATGCTTTAAGAAACAAAGCTAGAACCGAGATAATGCTACAATTATAAAAGTGGGCATGAGTAATCGGGCTTTGGCAACTGAGAGAGAGCATAGAGTGAGTTCGATTTTATTATTTTGAGTTGGATAAGCAAAGTACAGGGAGAGGAAGTTTTAGTTGACAATATCTACATTTATCTATTCTATCTATAAAACCAGATAAATGTTAAAGTATGCGTTAAAAGGTCAATGTTTACTGATAAAGGTACAAAATATACCCAAGATATCCATATTGATAATCAAACGTCAAATACAAAATTTTATAAGTATCGATATTTATCGATTCACTTAAAAAGGGTATGTATCATCGCTACTACTCAATAAAAATGATATGGGTACTTAAAATATCAAATTCTAATATATACTGATAATATGTACTGACTTTTTATCGATTTGTCACGTAAGGTCAAGCAATAGATATTTGAAAGCCTGCATGATAAGAACAATAGCTATAAAACCACATTGCTTATACAGCATATACAACTTCTACAACTTTCACGAAGGATATTTTCACTGGTGTTGCTTCACACCTTACAAAAGTCCCCCTTGTGGAAACTGTCGGCACTTTAAACAAACCGTAAAAACTAATATCAACTAGTTAGGCGCTGGGTCAGAGTTGTCAATGTGTGTTGGCCGTAACACTCAGCGTAGTTCAGCATAGTAAAAAATCTACAAAAATTCCGAAAAAAAAAAACTACAGAAACGTATCGAAATTTTTGAACAAAATTCCAGTAAGTAGCGCCCAGGAAGTCAACACGAACAACAACGACAACGACAACGGCAACTACTATATGATCATTAATACTACGACAATTACTATCGAACTGCATCGATCCCATTGATCCATATAGCCAGTGAAATGTCTGAACTGCAAGCATCGCTACTACTCAAGCGGCAGCTCGCCGAGCTGCACCGCAACCCCGTCGAAGGCTTCTCCGCCGGTCTGATCAACGACGAGGACATCTTCAAGTGGGAGGTGGTCATCATCGGTCCGCCGGACACCCTGTACGAGGGCGGATGCTTCAAGGCTCATCTAATCTTTCCCAAGGAGTACCCTTTGCGGCCGCCACGCATGAAATTCGTCACCGAGATCTGGCATCCGAATATTGAGAAGAACGGCGATGTCTGCATCTCCATACTGCACGAGCCCGGCGACGATAAGTGGGGCTACGAGAAGGCCGAGGAGCGCTGGCTGCCCGTACACACCGTGGAGACCATCTTGCTATCTGTCATCTCCATGCTGACCGATCCCAATGACGAGTCGGCGGCCAATGTGGACGCCGCCAAGGAATGGCGCGAAGATCATCCGGAATTCAAGCGGAAAGTAGCGCGCTGTGTGCGCCGCAGCCAGGAGGAGGTCTAGCTGGGTTGCCTGCCACACCTGAAGCAAACTCAGAGACAGAGATAGTCAGAGACAGAGACAGACAGACAGGTAGACAGACTTCCACACTCAAATCAACTCAAACGGTCAACATTCAAGCATGCGAATAAAATAAGCGACTGCTTGCAAAAAACAAAAAAAATCTAGCAACTGAAGTTCAATCTTTTTATGCAGCTGCCTCGTTTCTCGAGAAAGTGTCATAAATACTATTATTTTTGTATTTTTGTGCGGCTTTAATTGGCTGCTGGAAATGCGCCGCCTTAATTAAGTTTCCCGCATGATTAGCCGGCTAATGCTATGCCGACGCCTGACAGCTTTAATTGGACATCTTCGCGCACTTGGTCAAGTCTCCCAAGTCTGGGTCAATCTTAAGCCGAGTGCTTAATACGCAGCAGCGACGGCTGACACAGTTGCCTGTGGCCAATGGCCAATAGAGACTCGAGTCTCCAGTATCGAGTCTCTTGCTCAGCTGTGCTAACATTTTGCTTTGGCTGTGCGCAGCCTTTATTGACTTCTACACTTCTACTTCACATGCCCAAAGCAACGGCAGCAATAAATATGCCGCTCACCTGGACGGGCTGGGCACATGGCAGCCAAACAACTCTTAACGAGACGCAAAATATTTGCGCACAATGACGAATATTTGATACTCTAATAATACAATAGAAAAGAGATACAAAAGTCTTTTATCAGAAGTAAGTTAAGTCAGCAAAGAATTGATAATGCCGGATTGACCGCAAATGTATTTTATTTATTTAAATTTATTTAATCTTTTTTATAAGCTAAACTCTAATGGCTTTATTCTTTTTAGAACTCAAGCCCTAGGTATGTTAATTGGCGGAGATTTGAACAATGCATTAATTAATGAGTAGCTAGGAAGGTGTTTGGCTGACAGATTGTGAATTCGAGTTTTGAAGAATTGTGTTGGCGCTCTTTATTACCTTAGAGTTCTTTAAGCTTATCTTAGCCCAAAGAATATAATAAAGTAAGAGATACAGTCGAAAAACATGCAGAAATGTTATAATTTTCAGAACAATAGCCCATCCGTCTGAAATGAATGAGTGAATGAATATGCAAGTAGATTTATTCAGGCATTTCGCTTAATGTTTACCAAAAATAAATTATATATTATCTAAATTATCTATAACCCTACAAATCTGTTATTCTTACTTAACAAATTTAGATTCTGCATCATCTAAATGAAATCTAGAGTAAATTTAACAACAATTCTGAATATAGAAAAGAAAACAAAAAAACTTTTAAAATATAGCAATCTCCTACATCTGCTATAATAGATCATGAATATGTATAACCTAATAGAGCATACTAATAGTAACAAAGGTCATGCCAAAACGCCAATACTCTGCCTCGGTCAGTGTATAAATAGCATTTTTTAGCGGCTAACTGAAGTTTTTTGTTTGTTGTTGTTAGCCAGCGATTGTTGCTGTCATTGTTGTTGTTATTGTTGCTCTTGTTGTTGTTATTGTTGTTTAGCAACAAGTTTTGCATTTTGATTTTGCATTGTTTGGTTCCGGCCACAATCCGGTCAAGCCTGCCGCCACATTGCTGAACAATGACTCAAAAAGCGCCTAATGAACATTTTTAGCTAAAGTTTTTATTTCTCTTACTTTATTATTATTATTTTTGCTGGGTGTGGCTTTTGGCCCGAAAAATAATGCACGACTGTCTGGCATTTGTACACCAAATACAAATATTAAAATATGATGAATATGAATCAGCGCAAACTGTGTTAATAAGGCCAAGCCAGACTCTTGGCCAAAAAAAAAGGCATAAATATTGACAGGCAGAGGCAAGAACTCGATGAAGAATCAGCTTCAAATCTTGGCCAACAAAATATGTAAGCAATAAAAAACGAAAACGAAAAGCTGAAGAAAACAGCACAGAAAACCTGCTTGGACTGAAAAAAAAACTAAAAACCAAGATGCCACAAAAGATGAGGAGAAGAAGAAGAAGACGAGTCGATGCTCCGCCAATGAGACTGAAGCTGCCGCTGCCGCTACGGCTGCTACTGCTACTGCGACGACGACGGCGACTGCGGCTGAGGTTCTTCATCAGCAGCAAAACTCACTCAGCGAGTAGAAATTGAATTGATGTTGCTGTTGTGGTTGTATTTGCTGTTGTTGTTGTTGTTGTTGGCCCAGGCTTAAAACCGGCTTCAGCCTTGCCTTGTCTTCTTCTGTGGCTAACACACGCACAGCCAGGCCTGGATACCTGGAGCCAAGCGGAGCTCAACTGAACCAGAGGTGGGGAGAGCTGACGATCATAAAGTTTATAAATAGCATTTCAATATAATGCAGTGAAATCGCTTTTCCACTACTGTTAATGGGAAAGCGAACAGGTCGGGGTCACTCTGCGCGCGTACAGGTAGCTCGGCTAGCTGGCTAGCTGGCTAGCTGGCTCAGGTCAGGCTACATTAGTCAGCCGATCGAGGGTGGAAAAACACAAACACATACACTGTGTATTTCTGTGGAAAAGGGCGCCGCTGCTCGGTGCGATCTACACTTACCTACAGAAACAAGTACAAATCCAATAGACAAGAGCTGGGCTCTGTTGTGCGTGCCTCTGTGTGTGTCTCCGTGTGTGTGTGTGTGTGCGTGCGTCGCATACGCTTTAAGTAAATTCCAATATGCGCTGGGAGCTGGCTTTGTATCTTACAGATACATTGGCTCAGATACTGGTTTTGATTTCGTATAGAGCTAGAGCGGCGGTGCGAGCGAGATGGCGAACGCCTGCGTGCTGCGGTGAAAACGCGACAGTGAAAATGTCGCTATTGGTCGTTACTCCTTTGCCACGGATGAGTAATCCAAAGCGAAAGGGTATCCGTTAGTCGTTTTCGATTATTTCACGTATTTGTATTTTGTATTTGTATTTCTATTTCTATATCTATTTCGATTCTTTTTGCACTCTTCACTCGTTTTTTTTTTTCGGGTTAGTTGGAAACTCGCACAGACGACCCGAACTTTGTTTATCTGTTTATCTAAGTACAGAGCGCGCAGTTTGTACTTGTTAACAGAGTTTACACGGTGCTTGCTTTTGCGCTTGGACAAATGCACGGAGCAAAACAACAACAACAACAATAATAATAATATCGAAGCCGCGGAAGAAACTACCTGACGCGTACCGCCGCGTCATAAAAACCGAATGCTGCTTCACTTGTTGTTGTTGCTGCCGCTTGTTTGTTTATTTGTATGTGTGTGTGTGTGCGTGTTTGTATTTTTAAAAACGCGCTACGTTCGGTTCGTTCGTCTGCGACGCGTCTCACATTCGCTTTAGCCGGGTCTCTCGAGCACACACATCCACCTGCGTCGCCGTCTCAAAGTAAACTAAACCCAACTACGTTGAAAACAAGTTTCTGTTAACGCTGTCGCGCTGCCGCAGTCACCGTCGCCGCCGCCGCCGCCGTCGCAGTCGCAGCTGCTGCTGGCGTCGCAACATAACATGCCGAAACGAGATAAATGCAAGCAGACACATGCACTGCTGTGCGCCAGGCCACAGCACAGGAGCGAACTTGACTGCCTGCGCTGCGCCCAGATGTGTGTGTGTGTGTGTATGTCATTAGGATTTACAACACATGTTGACTGTAATTCTGGCGAATATTTGTTCGGGATTGACATATTTATGGCACATTGTATTTATATAAGTGGTTTATTACAGCTGTAGATATAGTTGTGGTACTCTTTGAATAGGGTACAGAAAAATAAGTGATAAAAAAATATAGATACATATATTCAAATGCATTAAAAAAGATATTATCAAATTTGGCTTTTCAGAATATTACATATACTACAAATATACATTACAAAATAGTGATATTGTTTAATATAATATTTTAATTATATTTTTCATTTTCTAAAAAACTGAAATATTATGGTAATATAGTTAAATACTTAAAATATTATAAACATATTGAAAAACTTCTATTCTTCTATCGAATAATATTAAAAAAACAGACTAAATACTTTACATTTTAGTATTTATAAAGTTTCAATATTAATGTTTGTTATAAAACTTGTTAAAAATTTTCTTGTTTAGTCTTTTTTGCTCAAAATATATAAAAAAAAAAAATATGTATATATATATATGCCCTTTAAGATGGTAAACTGAATTATCAGCATCAACACCACAAACTCTCAATTCAACAATTTAACCCTCCAGCCGCACCTGAACACGCTTGCTTAGCAACTTTGTTGCTGGCAACATTTGGCGCTGTTGCTGGCGCTTGTTGTTGCCGGCTTTTTGGCTGCGTTGGTTTTTGTTTTTGTACATCGTTGGTCGTTGGCACCGTAGTACACAGCCACAGCCACACCTACACCCACTCCCACACATACACACACACACACCCTCGCCCTTGCAGTCGTGACTCCCTTTTAAAGAGCATCGCAGGGTAGTTTGTATTTACACACACACACACAAACACACACATAGAGACACACAAACATGCTCTATAACAGATACACTCCACCACTTCGACGTCCGTTTCGTATTTACATTTTACAATATGTACAATGGCTGGCGCTAAATATTTGATGAAGCTGCCAGGCAGTGCCATAGAGCAGCAGATAAAGCTACAGTCAGACAGACAGTTAGATAGACTTTTGGCAAAGACTGTGTGTCTGGCTGCTCCTGCAGATGCAGCTTTTCCGCTTTTCATTTGCAAAATGGCCGCGCCGCTCGACTCGGCTATATTTGTTCGTTTCCAATTGTTTAGTTTCTCCTCTTTATGGTTTTATCTTTTATCTCATAACAGTTGCCGGCTCATTTGCACTTGAAAATGCTGTTGGTACACGCGTATTTGCACTCACTGTTGATAATGCCAGCCTGTTTATCTTATCTCGGCAAATGTCGTCGTTTTGTCAGTCTCGACAATGTCAACGCCTCAAAACATAACGCTCGACGCATATGCATGAGACGATGTCGTTGTTGCTGATGTTGTAGCTGATGTTGTTGTTGCTGCTGTTGTTGTTGCTGTTGCATATGTCTCTGCATTTCCATTTGCATTTTGAACAATTGTCAATTGTTGTGAAGGCCCGGCTAGCAAAATTTGCATGCGTCGAGTGCAAGGCAACATTTGCCACAAGACAAGCTCACTTTGATGCCACGCCCACCGCGCCTCCTGCACACATACACACACACACACACACACACAGACAGAGAGACATTAACTAAAAACTTACTGTACGTCTGGCATTTGTTTATCCTCTCGTTATATGTAATTTGCATAAAACTTGCTTTGCATCTTCCACCACAAGGCTCGACCTGCAGCCACAGCTGCACTTTGACCCGAGCCACCACCCAGCCCTCTGGAGAGCCACTCGAGAGTTCCCAAAGTTGTGGACACCGCCCGTCATCATAAAAGACATTAAAAATTTGTGCATCTGCTGCAGCTCTCAGAGTCAGGGAGGAAGAGGCGAGCGGCGAGGCAGAGGGAGAAACTGCTGTTGGCTGCATATTCATGATGGCAGTTGCAACAACTTTACGAAACTGAGCTTCTGGCCAGGGAAATGCTTAAGGTAACTGGCCAAGCGAACTTTAATTAAATGTTAATGGCTCAACTTATTCGCAATTCGACTGGCTCGAATCAGTACTTCCGCTCCGGAAGCGCGAGACGTGAAAAGTTGAACACTTGACTTGGTTCTTAAAAATAGTTTCTGTTCGGACTGAGAGCGCACAAGGTACAGGAAAGACTTAAATAGGCCTTGACTTGGGTGTAAATGTTTACTTGAGCTCTAAGTATGTCTGTATTTGATGGAGTGTGAAAAACCAAAAAATATATGTATGTATGTATTTACAATTACTTGCTGTCTCTGAATTTTCTGTTTATGTTTATGTTTACTTTATACAAATCAGGTTGGGTTTTTAAGGAGCACTCGGTATTCTGATGTCCTACTTCAGACCATTTACATATAGCTCTGATACTCTTCTATGCAAAACTCTACTCTGTCTGTCATATAGTAATAAAGTTGTCAAAAATTATCAATTTTAGTAAACTCCTTTTTTATAGAATTATAAAATAAAGTTTGTGAAAATATAATTCTTATTTAAAATCCTAACCCATCATATATGCTTATGGATACTTATAGTCATGTCGATATGCCTGTCCCTTTATCTAGCCAGAAATACCTCGCTGTAATTCCTTTAGAAACGTCTCAAATTTTAGGTTCTCTCAAGTTTTCTGTCACATTTCATTTAGTAACATAAAATCAAAATTAATTCACATATTTTTACTCATGAATTGAGTACAGAAAAAGAAAATTTTAGCAATTTTATGCAATGGACGATAAGAGAAACAAAAAATATGTTTTGATGGTTTGTGTGGGTTCGTTTGTGAGCGAAAAAAATGAATATAATACAGATTAAATAATTTTATCACTAAATCATCGTTTAGACAACACATGTCGCTCACCTATTGCTGAGGCGGTGCTGCATGATATGATCGTCAAGCAGGATCTTCAGGCGGAATGGGATGTGGAGAGCGCTGCGATCGAGGCGTGGCACGTGGGCGCTCGCCCAGACGAACGAGCGCTGAGCGTGCTCCATAAGCATAAAATTAAGTACACCAATTTCGTGCGACGCATCAGGCGGGAGGATTTTGAAAAGTTCGATTATATTGTGGGCATGGATCAGAGCATTATGGCCTCTCTAAAGCTGCTAGAGCCGCACTATGCCAAGGCCAAACTGCTGATGCTAGGCGACTTTTTGATAGGTTTGAAGCCCGATGAGCGCTTTATTGAGGATCCATATTACGTAAGTTGAAGCATTCACTAGCACTCTATTATCACTGCATAATTATACTTTGCAGGAAATGGGCGAAGGACCGTTTGACAAGATTTACGAACAGTGCACTCTCGCGTGCGAGAATTTTTTAAATCAAGCGCGAAGCTACGAAATTTAACATAGAATTCAACTGTGTGGCACCATCGCAGGGTTAACATCAGCTGTTACGATAACAGCTGACAGACAGCTCGTACGCCAGTGTTGGCAAATGACACGCACACATTCAATAAAATATTGTATCGTATAAATTGTTTTAAAAATGACACAAAAGAAAATATTAATGATTTGTCTGGGTAATAAGTTGTAATAAAAATAAAAAATAATAAATAAATAAATAGCGCCAATTGCACGACTCCCTAATATTTATTCAACTTAATACAGGCAACATCTGCCGCTCGCCGATAGCCGAAACTGTCATGGCCGAGACCTTGGCCAAGGCTAAATTGGACTCGGTGGTTGTGGACAGCGCCGCCACCGGCTCGTGGCATGTGGGCAACCGGGCCGATCCGCGCGCCCTGAGCACGCTGCAGAAACACGGCCTGGAGAGCAAACACATCGTGCGCCAGATCACAAAGCAGGACTTCAATGAGTTCGACTACATCTTCGGCATGGATGAGGACAACATGAGAGACCTGCGGCGTATGGCGCCGAAAGACTGCAAGGCGGAGCTGCTTATGCTCGGAGACTTTGGACTTAGCAAAGAGAAGCGCATCATTGAGGATCCCTACTATGTGAGTACAAATGTGCATAAATTGGAATGGAAGCTAATTTCATCTACTTGCAGCAAAGCGGCGATGAGGGCTTCGAGGTGGCTTATCAACAATGCGTTACGGCGTGTGATGCGTTCGTTAAGCAGCGGCTGCTGCAGTGATTCCCGTTCCAACATGTTTCATGTAGCTGACTTATAAAATGATTAAATTGCAATTGTTAAATATGCGATGACCGGTTTGTTTATATCTAAATACATACATATACATACATACATATGTATATGCATTTGCAGGCATGCATTTGTGTGCGTTATTATTACGTAGTGGTGAAATAGAATCGAGAATTGAGTATTCCGTTACTCTCAGTGCTGTTCAGTGTAAATTGCTTGGTTTCCAAATTGATTGAAGTATTTGCCTTACATTAGAAATTTGTTGTTTTAGCTAAATTTTACACGATGAAAGTTTTATTCGTCTGCTTGGGTAAGCAGTGAACATGTATTGTCGAGTGAATTAGCATTTGTTTATATGAATCGCCTCAACAGGTAACACTTGTCGCTCACCTATGGCGGAGGCTGTCCTAAAAGATTTGATCAACAAAAAGCAGCTGGTGAATTGGCACACGGACAGCGCTGGATTACGAGATTGGAATGTGGGCATGCAGGCGCAGGGGCGTGCACAAATATTGCTGCATCAACATGGCCTAAAGACGGACCATATTACACGCGCAGTAGGAAACATACTGAGTCTTAAATATAATCAGCTAATATCATTTCTTGCAGATAACCGTAGAGGATTTTTATAATTTTGATATTATTTTCGGCATGGATGATAACAATATGACGGAGCTGCAACTGATTGCCGAGCAGCTGGAGCCGCCGGCAAAGTGCCAAATAAAACTCCTGGGCAGCTATCTGAATTCCGAGCAAGATCAGATTATTAGAGATCCATATTTTGTAATTGCTTTGAATGTGGTTTCATATAACTTACTAAATCCCTTTCCATTGGCAGACCCATGGCATGGCCAGCTTTAATACGGCGTACAAGCAAATCAAGGAGAGCTGTGAGCGCTTCGTAGAGCTACATAGGGATGCGGCTTGAATGCTTATGACTGGGATGAATAAATACTATTTGATACTATTGATAATAATTGAATAAGTAATTAATGTATAAATATCTTGCCTTTTTGTTACGTTCTGTGAACTAAATAATATTTACATTTATAAATAAAAATAAGTGCAATATTTTGTTTGGAATTGATTTTTATATTTTTTACGTTCTCTAAAAGACCTTGCCCTGCAGCACTTTGTCTATGAACAGCGACCAGCTGTAGTCGAGCACCTGATATGCCCTTTGCCGTTCCCTGTCCGTGAGCATCGAGTAGCGCACGGAGTTGTAAACGAGAGTCTTCAGGACTCGGAGTCCGGCACTGTTGGGCGCCATGCTCATGATGGCATAGTAGAAGTCGTAGCTCAAGCCCTTGGCGTTCCAGAAGCCCGGATCATCGTTGCAAATGACCACGGGCACATCCAGGGCCAAGTACTGGGCGCCCGGATGATTGCGCATATCCCAGACCAAGTGCAGCACCTGGTTCGATATGGGACTCAATTCCACGGCTATGTTGCGCGTCTTCACGGCATTCATCAGTATGGGATGCTTGACCAGGGCGAAGGCGTGACCCATTCGTGTCGTATTGAGCAGCAGCGCATCCAGCAGATTAATGTCCGTTGAGGCGCTAAACCAATCTGGCGGAAATACATAGAATTAAGATTTGCATCTTTATATGGCGTACACAAAGGAAACTCACTCGTCTCGCCGGCGTGCAAGAACAAATTTGTGTTGGGCGGCAGCTCCTTCAGGACAGCCAGCTGCTCGTAGAGCGGCTTGCCTTTATCCTCCTGACCCACCAGATCGAAGCCAATCAGAAACTTCGGGAAGGCTTCCCTGAATTCGAAGAGTGAGGATTGCTTAACTTGGACGAAAGTCGTTAGAGTATTCATGCTTACTGCAATTTCCGGAATTCCTTGATTTTTCCCCTCAAAGTCTCCGCATCGGCGCCGCGCCACGTGGCGTAGATGACCTTGATGCCAATGAAATTGGGATGCAAGCGCACAAATTTCTCATTCAGTGTCTGCAGCTCGCGCAACGCCTGCTCCTGCGGAAAGGTGCGTCCGCTGGAATCGTAGATCTGCGGATGGCAAGGCAGATGAGCAGAGCTGCCAGCAGCTCTCAACTGGAATGCTCACCTCTTTTAGGCTAACGCGTAGCTCGGCATACATCACGTTGTCATTGTAGAGCTCCTCGAGCAGCTGCCAGTGATAGGCGCGAAATGCGGGCAGATAACAAATGGCCTCCGTCAAGGTATCAAACATGGCCTGGAACTTGTTCCAAACGGCGTTTATTGTGGGATACTCAACTGCCAGGATGATAAATGAACTGAACTGAACTGAATTGAGAATTATTGAACTACTCACGCTCCGGCACGGGCGTATATAGATTAATGAGTTTCTCCAAGTTCTCGTCGTACAGCACCGGATCGATCGAGCTCCTTCGCTCATCCGCCACGTACACGTACTGGGATGTGCACTTATGCAGCTTGGGGGCGCGTCGGAAGGTCAGCTTGCTGCGTCCCTCGGCGTCGGTGCAGCGCAGCATGCCCGGCATATAGGACATATTCCGCACCACCCACTTGGAGCTGACCGCGGCGGTGTTGTGCAAATGGAGCACAGCTCCCTTGGGCATCTGCTGCAGAAACTTGAAGACGGAGCTGCGATCGATCAGCGGCTTGGCCTTGAAGAAATGCATCCCAGCCACATTCTGATCGGCATTCCTGAAGCCCTGGGCCAGTTCGCCCAGCTTGTACTGCATGAAGAGATCGTCCACTTGGCTCTCCTTGGCGCTCAGGCTGGTGCGTCCGCCCGTCATGAGCTGCTCCTCGGCGTTGAGCACTGCCTGGCGTGCCTTCTCATAGCCTGCAAATTGAGCACTGTATAAGAGCATCCATTGGTCACCCAGAAGTTCTCCAAGACTTACTTAGAGTCGTCTGCACAGCTGTCTGCAGTGGACTGACCAGCAGTCCTAGCAGCAGCAGCAACAATGCGCACTTCATTTCCCTTGAGCCCGGATTTGTTTTGGCCAAAATTGTGGCCGCCTACACAAATATTGATTGTGGCTTTATTGACACGTTGGGACTTATTGTACGCCCTTCGGTAGGTAATTAAATGTTAGCTGACTTCAATGGACTCTCCGTGCTCAGGTGTTTGCGCCCGTTCGCTAGCTGCGCTCGCCAAGAACTGTGCGAAACGTCGTCGTCGCTTTATCAGCCTCACGGCTGAAAATTATAGAATAGTTTGACGAAAATTACACCTGGGCGTACGTACAACCATTATTCACAATTAATAATGTTTTTCTTCAAATTTTTGTTAGTTTTATTTTCGTATTTTTTTTTTTTCTAAATTTGTTCTAGTAGTGAGTATTTCGCGAGTTTTTTGACTGGAGGACTCGCTGCGCATATTAAGTGAATCAAAACACTAAAAACAGACGCGCGCCCAAAGCTTTTTAATTCGCATACCCTGCCATGGGCGTGGAAGTATGGTATATTGGCGAGATCTATCAATGGAATATATATAGAAAAGAAAAAAAAAAAAAAACAATTATCAAATCACAATAATAGCCAATTGTTTATGTATATCTTTTAAGACATTTATATGAGCTTATTATATGAGCAGTCGAAAAAACGAATTATTGTATAAGTATACAAAACAATAAATATATTATTGCTGCAATAAATAAAGCTTTCAAAAAAATTATTTAAATTTAATTATACTAGTTTCATACATCAAGGAACTTTGGCGCCACTAAATAATAAAATATAATGTTCATTAAGAGAAAAAGGTCTACATGTTATACATAAATACCTACTTAAGCTAAAATTACCGTGCAAAGGGCGGTTCCCATTTTTCAAACCTCATTTATTATTATGTAAGCCTATGTATTATATATTTTTCCCGCCTCAACTATTATTCGCCGACCTACAGGGTATCTCAACATCGTACCACATACGCAATCGGCTTGTTAATTGTCAACTGACGTTTGCGGACGCGCGTAGCTGATTTCTAATCGCATACGAAATGAGCTGTTCCCTCTATAAGCCGCGATGCTAGTGCTGAGAATTCGCATTAGGGGCTGGGCGTACGTTTGTTCAACGGTAATTGGCGACATCAATTGTCACCAGCATAACATAAAGTAATATCACAATTTATAAGAAATAATTTCATCGTTTCAAAATTAAGACAATTTTATGCCATGACTTTGCATCCATTTCATGGCAGTTGACTAGAAAAGGAATACTTATTGTGAAGGTTATTAATTAAATTATAAGTATAATTGTATTATGAAGAACATTAAACTTGAGAGTAATTTAAGAAATCAGTTTGTACCATTTAAGAAATTTAGACAAGTTAACAAGGGGTATAAAAAGGGGTAATGGAGCCACGGGGTAACGGAGCCACATAATGCTAATATTAAATAAAATTACTGCGAGAAATTTTTTTTTTATTATTATTATTATTATATACATTATATTTCATCAAAATTCACACATCGACTAATTTGAAAAATCGAATTCATTCTATTATTTAATTTGACAATATTTTTATGAACAATAATTCACCGTCAAAGGAAAGAAACCCTTGTTAATGTTTTAAATTCGTGAAAAAATGTAAATTCTTAAAACAAAAAAAAAACGTAATAAAATTATCTTATACACCTCATCAACATTCATGTTCGAGTATTTTTACCTGTTCGCGTGCCGCTCTGTCTTCAAGCAAGTCTTAGCTGGTTCCCCTCTAGAGTAGATTTGACTTTAATGTAGAAATATTAGATGCAAATATAAAGACTTATTTATATGCATACACATACATGTATACATACACATGCATGTATATATAGGGAGAAATTTCCCTATATAAAGAGGCATATATTTGTTTCAAAATAAATCTCTGAACTTTTATTTCTGTATCTAATATATTCCTGCTTTGCGCTTAGTTTTCCATTATAAATTAAATTTAGAAAAGCAAACACAAATAAAAGTAATTTGTTGTTATTTATTTAAAAGCCTCGCCGATAAGCGCAGTTCAATGTTTTTTTTTCTGTTGTACATTTCCCACGATTCATTTCACTTTTTTCCAGCTTTGTTCTCTTGACAGTGACAATCTAACACATCGAAATCTCTCACACCCTCTCGCTCGCTCCCTCTCTCTCTCTCTCCCACACTCCCCTTACTTTCGCTTACCTTTTCGCACATTTACCGTTCAGCTGAACTGTCGCCCCTTGTGAATGTGGCGAAAAATTTGTACACATCACATTCAATGCCAAGTATCAATTTTAGTGGCCCCAAAACAATTTGGGTTAGTAAACAATATGCAAAAAATATATTTTAAACTGAATATAGAAAAGGGTATGCAGGACTAGTATATTAAATACTTTAGGGTGTTGCATATGAATTATATGTTATATAAAACATGTATGAAGCGAACTGACATCTAATCTTTAATTGCTGTCGTTGTTTACAGGGCATATTTTGTATGATTTATATACCCTAGAATTCACCAACTTAGGAGCGCTCGACTGCCATGCATTTTTTCATGATAAAAATTTACTTGGACTGACGCTTCTAATGAGTTATGTCATTGAGCGATCTGACGTCTCCGTCAAATATGGACAGCCCAGTGTTCTTTAAAAATGCTGATCTGATTTACAGGGTATATTTTGTATGCTACTAATCTATCTGCCAATAAACAAGTTATAATACCCTTTAAGATCTCTCAGCTTTAGCTTTTGTTTAAGTAATACTTTAGTCAACCCATATATACCCCTTTCTCCAGCTGCAGTTAGGGTATTCATACATCAGCCAAGCCTGCCTAATGCAGGGCTCGCGCTTTGGCATATTATTTATGCAAATAGACACACTCACATTCACATGTGCTCTGCCGTATATAGTTTTCGCGCCCTCGTCGGTCAGTATGCACAATTTTGCAAAAAAAAAAAAAAAAAAAAAAAAAAAAAAAAAAAAAAAAAAAAAAA